TTGTCTTTTTTGCACACTCATTTCTAACACTTGTCTTTCATATATGTCACAATAAAAAAAGTAAATTTGAAAAAACAAGAGTCAATCAGGGCTGCACAGTGACGCAGTTGGTAGAACTGTTGCCTTGCAGCAAGAAGGTTCTGGGTTCGATTCCTGGCCCGGGTCTTTCTGCATGGAGTTTGCATGTTCTCCCTGTGCATGGTGGGTTCTCTTTGGGTACTCTAGCTTCCTCCCACAGTCCAAAAACATGACTGTCAGGTTAATTGGCTCCTCCAAATTCTCCCTAGGTGTGTGTGTGTGCATGATTGTTTGTCCTGTCTGTCTCTCTGTGTTGTCCTGTGACAGCCTGGCGACCTGTCCAGGGTGTTCCCTGCCTCTCGCCTGGAACGTTAGCTGGAGATCGGCACCAGCAACCCTCCGACCCCACTAAGGGACAAGGGTGTAAAGAAAATGGATGGATGGAAGAATCAATCAAATTTTTTATTTCAGCAGCAAGGCATTTCAAAGTGCTTTACATCATAAACACAAAGTCATGCAACACAGAATCAACAATCAAAACAGTACAAGAAGAAGTGATGTGGTCATTTTTGCGCTCTCTCATCAGGTTCCTAGCTGCAGAGTTTTAGATGTACTTGAGCCTCTGCAGGCTCTTGCTAGGAATCCCAATGAGAAGTGAATTGTAGTAGTCCAGTCTGAAGGAGACAAAGGCATGGAGCAGTTTTTCAGTGTCTGAGAAGGAGAGAATGGGACGGATTTTGGAAATGTTTTGTAGAAGGAGGTCTTGCAGAGGAGGTTGATATGAGATTCAAAAGTGAGCTGGGCTCACTTTGATACCAAGATTTGTGACTAGTAATGAAGGAGAAATACTGCTCTGATAAGAGGTGCCCATAACTGTTTGCTATTAGCTGCAGTGGCTGTTGTCTTTACTGTTGTTAATTCTGTCCTGGCCAAAACCAGCCCCTTGTTTCATGTTTTGCTTCAGACAGAAAGTTTGGATCTTGAGAAACAATTGCTTGTTTGAGGCATGGACTATGTTCAGTCATTAATGTTTACCTGTGAGACGTATGTATGCCATTGGTTTGATGCTATGAAGCTTACCAGAAATTGCCTGCGTTGTAAAGAGCCATCCCCCACAGCGAGGAGAAAAATGCTGATCTGAACAAGGCAGCTGTTAATGTTAATTCAGTATTTGGAAATGTGGCCAACACAGACTGAAAGGCTTTGTTCACTTCCTCTAAACCTACAGGCAGAACACAATTCTAGAACACCGCAGAAAATCTGCATAATCATGCACCACTTCTCCCTCTCTTCACTGAGAAATTGAGCTGAAAGTGAATCAAGGTGAAAAGATAGATGAAAGCCAGGGAGGAGTGAGTGGAATCGGAGGCCTTTGGCTTGATGGTTGATCAGATGGTGCAATGAGGCTTGGAGAAGAGTGACAGAAGATGCTGGATGCTTGAAATGAGAAGACTGGAGCATGGACTTAGAAAGGTTGCTGGAGTGAAGACAGGTTGCTTGAAGGAGGATAAAGATGACAGGATAAGGAAAGAGGAGAGTGGAGGCAGCCAGAAGTCAGATGGATGGCAACCATTGCATTGTTGAAAACATCATCCAAGGATGGACTGATTTGATCTGAGAAACATGGAACATTGACAAATAGTGGCAGGGAGATGTAGATAAGCATCTGTGGAACTGATGGATTAAATTTCATAGCGCTTGATGAAGCTGGGGTGAAGTTTTCTTGGAATGCATTAAAGAGGTATGTCATGAGCAGAGAGGCAAACTTTTGTCCTGGTGAATAATGGGGAGTACTTTTCTGATTCTCTGCTGCATCAAAGAGCAGCAGTTTCATTGAATAATTTACTAAATTAGAAGTTCAAGTTCAGTCAAGTCCAGTTCATTATCTAAGGAAGCTCAGATTATTGTATTGAATCACTGATTTGACTTTGACTCTCATCTTTAAGGAGGAGTGTACAGTTGATTGTATTGATTTGTTGAGTTTGCTAAAAATGCATGTAGTGACGGAGAAGATGATAACCTCCAGCAGAATCTGCCTCATTGCATTGTACCGTTGTTGATAAAAAGCACTGACAGGCTTTTAAGCACTGAAAGAATCTCTCTCTGGGATTAAAAAAGTACATTTATTCACTCACTCACTCATCTTGTAAGTGTAATGACCTAACTCAATAATTGTTGAAGCAGGCAATCATGCTAGATAATTTAATTCAATCATACTTATCCAATACTTACTAAGGTTGGGGAGTAAATCAAGATTACACATTAAAGAACTGACCTTGGAGACGTTGTCTTGTTCCAGAATACTTCAAGTTTATTTAATAATATATATTTAATTTGTTATTTTTCTAATCATTTTAATATGCTTAGTGTTTGGTATAAACAAATACGGAGTACTTCAATATACTGAATACTGGCCATAAAATTAGAATATCATAAAAAAGATACTCAAGATCAATGTATTGATCATCAGAACCAGGTCTTCTTCTTAACATCATACTAAGTGTTTTTTCCACTTCTTGGAGAAGGTGAATATTTTACATTTCAAGGAATCTGTAGACTAAAGCAGTGGTGTCCAAAGTTGGCCCATGAGGGCCGGCATCCTGCATGTTCTAGTTCTCTGCCCAGTAGTAGTAACTTCCTCCTCAGCATTTCTCCTGAGGTCCCTAATGAGCCACCATTTGATCCAGGTGTGTTGAACCAGGGAGAGAACTAACACATACAGGATGCTGACCCTCCATGACTGATTTTGGACACCATTGGTCTAAGACACCCCATGAGATCAGGCTGAGGTCTGGAGAACACTGGCCCTGCAATTAAAAATAACATCCAGCCCACAGACAAAACTAAATACATCTGCATCCAATGTGTTGTTTGCAACCTGGGTGCTTTGCACATTTTCATACAACATAGCCTTGATACAAGTCTGAAACTGAAGAGACAGTACTGTTATGGTACAGAAAACAACAGAATGGCTGAAGTCTCATATTCAATGTTGTTAGTTTTATAAAATTAAAAATGTCCATAATAAAATCATACTGCTTGAGAAGGAGCAAAAATAAGACTAAAATGAGATCAAGCGGTTGAATGAGAGGGACTGAATAAAGGGATCAGATAGTAATGAACATTAGAGCAGGATGTGTCATAAGGTGTGAGGTTGTTGATGGTGAGGAGAGACGCTGAGACCCAGGTTATGGTGATGATGAAGATTTAATGATGATAAAGCACACAAACAGTCCAAGGCAGGCAGCACGGCAGGAACAAGCACGCAGCTAAATACCGGTAGCAACTGTTAAAACGGACTAGACGGGACAAACACAAACCAGGACTTTACAGTTCTACTGGCGAGTGAGACGGAAACATACACAAACGACGAGGACCCGACGAGGAACACAGACAACAGGAGGGTTTAAATACACACGGGGTAATCAAGGGAATGAGACACACCTGGGGAGCAATCAACGGGGAGGACAGGACAGAGACTCACAGGGAAACAGGACTGAACACAGAAAACTCAAAAATAAACACAAAAACACGGATCGTGACAGGATGAGAGTTGAATACAATGTTCTATATTTATGCATTCTATTAACTAATGTCAAAATATATTCACATTATTATATACAGCATTTCATTAGTTGAAAAGACGTACACACATGTTGTTCACCTAAGTGGACAAATAAGAAGAAAATTTTACAAATTTTTCTTCCCACCTTATTTTTATGCCCTGGGAAAATCAAAATTACTTTGGAAAAAAATCCTGACTTACTGGATCATAATTCATGCATGAAAGGGCTAATTAGCCAGCAAACTCGTCTGACCTTAACCCCATAGAAAACCTATGGGGTATTGTGAAGAGGAAGCTACTCCAGATTCAACAATTCAGAAGAACTGAAGGTCACTATCAGAGCAACCTGGGCTCTCATAAGGCCTTAGCAGTGCCACAGACTGATGGACTCCATGTCACGCTGAATTGGTGAAAAGGAGTTCAGTTGGCCAACATTTCCCAAAAAAAAAAAAAAAAAACTTTTTTTGTACTGTCCATAAGTAATATTCTAATTTTCTGAGATACTGAATTCGGATTTCATTAGTTCAGTAATAATAATCAACATTAACCCTTTATGTCGTAAAATAAAATGGATGAGAGATATTGTTTATTTTAATTCAGTTCTTTATCATTTATCCATAACAACAGGAACTTTCAATATCTAGCAAGTTATTTTCGCAATTTACCATCATATTAAAATAGTGCCCATTTTAATAGACTCCCGTGGCAGGGGGTGAAATTAACCCAATTTCACTCCCTGCCACGGTGTGGGTGGGAGTGAAATTCCCACCCCAAAGTGCCAGTATATATATATATATATATATATACTGGCACAACGTCTCCAAATTTAGAAATGGTTGCAATTTTTCAGATGGCACAAAGTGTGACGGAATTACAGTACTGCAAATTTGGCTGGAACGATGACACTCCAACCAAATTTGCAGGACAAAAAAAACATTTGAAATATATGTATAATGTGTGTATTAAATGAATATAATGTACAAGTTTCACTTTTTAATGAAATTACTAATTTAAATAAACATTTTCATGATATTCTAATTATATGGCCAGCACCCATCCTAAACCTAAAATAATTTGGAGTGGTTGTTTTGTGTGTCCTTGCATTATTCATAAGGTTCCTGTCATCAGTTAGGGTTCAGGAAGGCCAAGATTATGTTTGTTCTTGGTTAAATGGAAACTTAATTGATCTTTGCTGTTGTTTTAGCCAGCAGTAATAACTCTCACAAGTTCATACATGGATGACAAATATAAACTCAGAACACAAATGCAGGAGCTCCACTAACTGCAATAATAATTGCTGTATTTTCAATTTTTACTGTATTTACTTCCAGTACAGTAAGTATTTGAAATAAAATCTTAAACTAATCTATTTGGGTCATCTCCTGTTTTTGACTTAGCACATTTTCTATCCTGTCAGGTTAACATGTTTGTTGAAGGATTCCATGATGCCTTGGTGCTATATTCCATTGCGTTACATGAAGGCATGAAGAATGGATACTCAAAGACAAACGGTACTGAGATAACCTCACACATGTGGAACAGAACTTTTGAAGGTAATAAACTTTCTAATAAACTCTTAATAAACTTTCAATAAAGCTGATAATTGTATACATAATTTTATTTTAACAAAGTGTTCTTGTGATATTATGCAAGTAACCTGGGATGTAGGAGGAAAAATAAGTTTTGAATATGCCTTACTTTAAGTTTTGGAAACTATTTCTTTGCACACTGATCTTTAGTTCTTTCTATAGTTTTTCAATTAAAATATGTGTCAGGCAATTTGATTGGGGAATTGTAGAAATTTTACTTTCTTTCTCTGAAACCAAATAAGAGTTTCCTTGGCTGTGTGTTTGAGACTTTTTTCTTACTTGCAAATGTACACTTGTTATATGATTGATTTTTTTCTTAAGAGCCTTCTAGCCATGATCAGAAATGAAAAATAATTTTACATGTGAGGTTCTTTTTCCAGTTGCCTTCTATTTAAGCTATTATCATTATCATGCCATTAAGAACAGGGAATCTACACTAACAGTACTGACCGTCATTTTTTTACTCTTATTTTTGTTTGCAGTTTATATGAAACAGCATAACATTTATGATATAATTTATGACATTTAGTGAATGTGAAGGTTGCATTCCTAAGAAAGACACAGGGGCTGATTTTAATGATTATTTAAGTGCAATCACTATGAAGCTGTTAAAATGTGTTCATATAGATTAATTCCAACATATATTAAATAATTCTATGGAAAGTGAATCATCTTCTAAGATACATCATGTTTCATTTGATGGCAGGTAGTAGACATTGAATGAGTGCACTGGCTCCAGACAGTGTTATCTTAGTAGCATGAGGCTCACCCTCACTAAACGCAATGGAAAGAATTAACTTTTTTTTGCTTTGGTATAGTATGTAAACCAAACCTGTGGTAAAACACTACTTCATATTCCACCTCAGAAGACATAATGATGGAGCAATTTCTGTTTTCTGGTTAATGTGCAAAAAGTGTGAAGACCTGATTTAAGGCTCTCCCATACTTCATCTGAAGCCAAACAGTCAATGCATGGCCATGTTGCTGGGCACATTGGTATTTGCACACACACTTTACATACACAGGCCACCTGGAAGTCACCTGGCGACAACAATCCTGCTTCAGTATGCATCAAACCCTTAAGCCAGTGGTTCCCAAAGATTTTCTTCTGGGCCCCCCTATGGATTACAATAAAATCCCCCCCAAAAAAGAAAGGAAAAAATCAACTGGGCACACACATTGTTAAACCAGACAAACCTATACACATATTTTGTTTTCAAACTCCGCTGAAGTTTATTTCACACTTCAGGTTGCAACAAAACAAACTACAAACCATCTTTACAGTGAAACACTTTTGTGTAACTGCTTTGTTTTTTTTTGTTTTAGTTCTATACTGTAAAAGAGAATTTTTTGCTGTCAGTGTTCTTTCAAACTTTCTTTTTTTAATTTGTAACAATATTCAACTTTGCTATCAATACATTTTTAAAAAAGTCTCTGTGCAAAATGGGGTTAAAACATGAACAGCTCCCTGAGAGTTTTATCTTTTTTCATCGTGCAATGGCACTGCCCAACCTTCCACCCCATTTTAGGGGCGCGCCCCACACTTTTGGAACCAAAGGTAACAAAAGAGTCATAGAGAGAGCATCGCATTTTTTTGCAGGCCATCCTCCCCCATGGATAATGACTTTGCAATTTCCATTTTTCGCCATTTGACAATCGTAGGTATTTTGTGAAAAATCGTACAAAATATGGTTCTTCACAAAAGAAGAATCATATTTCTTCTTTATCAGATGCTCCTCAAAAAGTATTCTTGTCCATTTTCAGGATGGTGGCTTGCAGTGCTTAGGAGTGCTGGCATGCCATTTCGCTTATTTTGCAATTATAACCCACAAATAATGTTGGAGTACGGACATTTACTATCATTTGTGAAATTATTATTTTGTCCTACAGCGGTTGCCGTACAGGTGGTATGCATGTAACGTCTCTGTCTGAGGTACTTGGTATGTGCAAGCTGTTAGCTACGGTTCTTATCACTAAAACTCCTTTTAAGTGAAATCTCTACTGGTTGCCTGTCCTATTTTTATTACAAGGAGCAAAGAGCAAGCATTTATATGGTGTCAGAAGGGATTGTAAAACTGTCACTCAAAGGCTTTTTTTCCTCCTTATTTTCTGTTCTTCCAAAGAATTTTTTTTTTCTTTTGCCCTGAATCGTCAGTCTATGCCTGTTGCCTGGAGCGCACATGTCCTGGATATATGATGGCAGAGGTTTTCACAGACCCGACCCTGTGGTTTTCAATGAGACTGTGGCCAAAAACTGTCGCATTTTTGAACGGGAGTACAGCATTTTTATTGCTGCTGCGCACCATGACAAGCCAGCTTATATTCTTCTCAACATCACGGGTCCAGACGGCATCGAGCTCATTTGTCTATTCTGCTGCTGTACATGACGAGGATGGAGCCATCATCACACCAGCAGAATCAAGGGAGGATCCAGACAGTTAGAAATGGAAATTCTGTGAAATTTGCAACCTCTTATACTTATATAGAGCAATGCAGCGACACAAGTTTCATCCAGAAATGAAAGACAGGGTGACAGCATTGAGTCTTTTATCAGCGATTTAAAAATAAAAGCTAAAACCTGCAATTTCGGTGAACTTACTGATTAATCTCATCTGTGACAGGATAGTTTGTAGCATCCCAAGTCTCTCAGAAAGGCTTTATTAAGAGACAGTTATTTAAAGGGAACTACGACTAGTAATAAAAATAGACCTTATTTGGGAAATATTTATCTCAAATGTAAAAACAACACAGTAATAATACTGTAGGTTATTTAGTTTTTATAAATTTTAATAAAATATTTTCACAGGAATGTTGCCATGTTTTTCACACTGCAATGCATTCTGGGTAAATGACGTGTAAAGGTCCAACTGCCTGGCTCCTCCAGCCAAAACAGTGATGTTTTGGAGCCAGTTATTTAGCCTTTTTAATTTGAACCAGAGCACATTGAAAACGATTGGAACATAGAAATAACAGGAGATGGTGAAGATGAGAAGGAGCAAACTGAGGAAGAGGACAGAATTGGCCGTAGGAACTGGTGTTTTGCTGCTGCCTTCAGCTTCATAATGAAACAATGAATGACACTCACCTGTGGTTGGACTGTGTGATCCGGTAAGTACTTCTGTAGCTCTGTGTCCAGTTAGGTAATGTTAAGAGAGGAAAAATTCTTGAACTTTAAAAACCTTTTGACTCGTTATATCCTCTCTATGCCCAGGTTCAGAAAAATGCTGTGCGCAAAGACTGAGATCACACAGAGATAACAGCGTCACAATAATCAGCATTTATTCAAGACAGATGCATACTATCACCAGACAAACACATCACAAAACATCAGAAACCTCAGAGCACAAACAACACATGAATTTACCTGAGAGAGAAAAAGACAAAAGATGGAAACGACAAACAAAAAGCAAAGACGTCTTTGGAGAAGTTGCAAGAGCAAAATCTAATGTGTTATTTCTGTGTAGAAAGTTTTATAGTAAAAGGAGTATTCTTATCTTTAATTTATTCAAATAAGGCGTATCTTTGCTCATCCAATCCAGGAGCTATCTCTGACCATCTCTAAAACCAGGAACTCCTACCGTGTTTACGGCTTTTCACAGATGAGTGTGAAAAGCTAGAACTTCTACTGTATTGTTTTCCCACACAGACAAAAGGCAGTTCAAACGATCCTAGCAAACCATCTGCTGTAACTACAGGTAACATAAAAGTCAATAGGCCAGAATACGTTACTGATTTTAAAACCACAATTTAGGCCATTTTAATCAAGACATGTTAAGTTTTAAAACTAGCTTATCTTAAATTTATTTTCTTAACAGTAACAGGGTATGAACTTCGTTCAGTGTCATAGTGGTTTTACAGTACCAGTGACCTAGCTCTATTAGCATTTCCAGCAGTAATAATTCCATTAGTGCTGCTTGTCTTTGACGTTTCTCCCAGCGTCTGTAGCGCTGTGTCCGGTTCGGCATCAGCTGTGCTGCTTAGAGTTTGGTGCAGTGGTGACAGCCACGCCGGACTTAATTTCCATCGACTCCGGACCTCCATGGACCTGGTCGATGGTGATGTCAATACAGCAGGCAGCATAGCTCCTCTTAGCATCTCAAAGAGCTTCCAGCTCTGCCTGTCTCAGCGGCAGCACTGCATTTATTTTTAGCTCATTAAGGTAGCGATCACCTTAACGCTACCGTAACATTGGCTGTTAGAGCCTTTGTTGGTTCTGCTGGTATAAATGGCTCAAAGTGTTGTGGAGAAATGTCCAGGGTCCAGATTAGGTGATTCGTTGTGTTCCACTCTGGCTCTCGCACTACGCTCTCCTTTCTTTCATGTGGGATATTATCCAGATTCTGTCTCAATTTTTATTTTTTATCAAAGCTGATAGTGTGGCACAGTGTGGCATTATCTAAAATGACACCAGTCAAACGCATTATGATAAACAACTACTGGGGTAAAGTTAACATTCTAGCGTTTACTCTGTAGACTTCAGTACAGAATGGACCATTTTATGAATCATCAACCCAGTGGTGAAAAAAAGGTGACCTCCATGGGTGAAAAATATAACAAAAGATGTACATTTTTGAATTAATTATGAGTTCTGGCATATCGAAAACAGCAATTTTTTAAAGTAATATCAAAATTGCAACATATTTAGGCCAACATGTTCAATTAGTCGGGGATACTTTTAACTCTGGTAAAAACTGCTTCAATCTTCCACATTCATGAAATGACATAGGAGGGAAGCAAAAGATTAGCTAGCCAAGCTAACGCGGTTGATGCTGTAAAATTCTCCAGTAAACAGCAACAACGACCTAGGCCCCAGCCACATATTATAGCTGACTGCAATAATTACAGAAGCTCTCACATTGCAAAAAGAGAAAAATGCATTAGGTGGTCTCAACCAGTGCCATTAGTGCAGGAAAATGAACCATTGCAAAAACTGCTGCAAAGGCAAACATCAAATCCTGGCAAGA